ATCTGTTAGCAACTTATTTGACTGTCTGCATTTGTTCAAGTGGAGAAATCCACTGAGAGTTTATCAAATTTAGCTTTCTGTGAGATGACAACTTTAGTTCTGTCCTGAATAAAGACTTTTTAAAAGAAAGAACGTTCTGTTTATTTTTTTAAATTTTATTTCTTTGTCATGAACTACATGCTCTGATGAGATCAGTGAGCATTGTGTTTTGAAAGCACCAGCTATTACACTGCCAGACCATAGAGCAGTGTATAATGCTAGATGGGGATGTCCACAGCGGGGGTGGTAAACTGTGTGGGCAAAAGCAGACAAGGGGAGAAGTAGGTTTAGTAAAACAGGTATTATCTGTAGACGTCCTTTATGGACAACCCCTAACTAAAATTCCTCAAAGTAATTTGACTACTTTGACTAAATTTTTGAAGACTTTGTTTTAGGGGAAATTAATGGTCACAAAGTTAGATGTAACAATATTGTAGTCAATGACTTTTATAGATATACAATACTCAGAACTACATCCATGTAGAAAATAAAGGCAACCATGAAAAACATTTTGAATTGAAAAGGAAGATATCACAGGTCTGAATGGTAGCAAGGATACCTTAAAAACTCTTTGAAGATCTCTCTGTGGTATAACAGTTTATATTTCTGTGTACATTCAAGAAAAGTACATATATATTGACCAATCATTTATACCTACATTTCAAAGGTAAATACAGGTCATTAAAATGGCAGAAAGATTCAGCTAGAAACTGCATTAACAAATAGATCATAAAAGATGCACTAGGAGAGAGGGAGTGAACTTCATCACAAAACAACTTTTAAAAGTATTATGGAATTATATAATAAGTTACAAATGGGCTTTATCACTATTACTGAATGTACCTACACTTTTTAGTTCCTGTTGACATTAAAATATATTGGGCCAAAACATCCCATATTTTATGGGCCGAATAATTGCAGTTGATATAGTGAGCAGAAATATCCTACAGCCCACTAAACGATGACATAGAACTAAAAATAAAACTCATCAGAAGATTCTTTGATGTGTTATTAATAAAAGTTGCATATTGACTTTGCTTAAAATTAAGCCATCATTGGTAAAAAGCTATGCAATGGAAAAGCAAATGAGGACATTAAGACTGGGATATCAATTCCTGTAAATGACATGGATACTAGCAAAGAAAGGTCAAGGTCTCATCTGTATGAAGCTATGCTATATTTATGTTTGGCTTTGGAAACAAAAGCTAGGAGGACAACTTAACAACACATGGCAACATTTTGTATTGGAAAGCAAACTAGGAGGACAACCTAACAATCCATGGTAATGTTTTGCATTAGAAATCAAAGCTGCAAGGACATGCAGTCATAAATCACAAATGAAGTTGTCTTTGGTCTCATTATTATAAAACAGCATGTTAAGTTTGCTTGAAATTCTTTTATCATTGTAAAATTATTTTGTGGAAACCAAATAGCATATGAATGCCAATGGATAGACAGACTGATGGACAAATGCAGACTTCTCTGTGCAGGCCCATAATGAAAAGTGACCAGAAAAGCCATCAGAAAAGCGATGTCCTTGTTTTATACTGTGTAATAATACTGGCAGCAAAGACAAATGGAATGGAGTTTTAAATAACACAAGAAATACATTTTTAATCATTACAATTTTATTTTTAGAAAAGATATTTCAACATACAGAGTAGTTCAATAAGCAAAAAAAACGCACTTTAAAATTAGAATACCTTTTTGAAGTCACCATTTGTGAGTTTTGATTTTCAAAGTAGGTAAAAAACAAATGTCAACAAACTCTGCATTAAAATGCAAAAACTAACAACACTGCTCTTGGTTTCTTTGGAGGAAAGAGCTATTCTTATGAATAGCACAAATTGAAAGATTCACTGTGTTAAAGCTAGGCTAGACTTATTTTTCATAGGATAAATATTGAAGAGGCAACTTAGTGAAAGAAATTTTTTGAAACTTGTTGAGGAGTATTACAACAGATCTGTAATTGTAGTGAACACATGCATTATTAAAACTGGACAGTTAGTCAAAGAAGCAAACTTACAATGAGAGAACTTCACTTATTTTTGAAGGTATTTAAATTTCTGTCATATACATTGATAGTTCACAAATCCGCACTTTGGAAGAATTATACGCATGTAACAATACCGTCCCACCCATGTAATAACACTGTCCCACCCCTTTTGCTGTTGATGATGCAGTTTAAGTCATTTCTATGTGTCTCTTTTCTACTAACATGGGTCTGACAAGAATGGTACCCAAAGGTAGAAGAAGCATCAAGCCTGACCTCTGAATTTGCTCCTGGCATACATCTCATTCAACAATGGATGTCACACTTTTAATCTTAACAAAGAGTTTTCTCAAGCAGCAACAATTGTACCTCTCTCATTCTCTCAGTAAATGCAGCAATTGCAATAATTCCAAAATAAGTGATAAAATGGTTAAACAATACATATATCTTGAGATGGTTTGATAATATCAATGCATTGAGGACTTACAATATTGACTCATGTGACTTACAGTATTTACTCGTGTGACTTACAATATTTACTCATGTGACTTACAGTATTTACTCATGTGATGTACAGTATTTACTCATGTGATTTACAATATTTACTCATGTGGCTTACAATATTTACTCATGTGACTTACAGTATTTACTCATGTGACTTACATTATTTACTCATGTGACTTACAGTATTTACTTATGTTACTTACAATATTTGCTCATGTGACTTACAATATTTACTCATGTGATAAGCATCAAGCTACAGGATGATAAGATTCAAAATAAACTTAATAATATAAAATGTCCCAAAATATGGAATGTATTTTCTTTAAATATTAGGATGAGTGTCATTTGTTGCAAATAGCTTGATTTATTATTCAACTCATGTCATCAAGTTTAAATACAATTATTCTTCATGTGACCTCCTCTTTGACAATGAAAGAAGAATTGGCAAATAATACATGACATATAACCAACTATTGTAAAAGAAAATGGTTGAATTGGATGACAAAACTTGTAGTATTCAAGAGAAAAATAAAACACATAAAATCCACAATCAGATAGGTTAACAAACCTGTATAAAAACAGTTGCAAGTATATGTAATAATTAAAGATTTACAAATATATAAATTGTCTTTTGTACTGCACTTTTTATTAAGGTATCCCAAAATTTTGAATATGTACATTAAATATATGTTTACTTCTGAAATGAATATAGCAAAATATTAAAATAGTGAAAATATTTAACTTTTTCCATACTCTTAAAAGTTTGGTTTTGACTCTTGAGATCAAATTAAAGAGTCAACAAGAGTACCTGCCATGAGTAGTATATTATACACCTGCCCTGTGTTTAACATCTTTCTTTGTAGGCACCACTAAGGCATGATCAATTCTAAAGATATTGGCCTACAAGTCTCAAAGATATTGATCTCATGTAGTTTTGAGCAACTTAAATTAGTAGAAACCATTATTCTTTGACTTGCCATAACTGTGGCCTCCCAGAATCTAAATTTATTTTCATTACTCTATATGTAAGACAGATCCAAAGAATGGTCAACTTACTCCAGAACAAATATTATTTTGCAAAGCCAATTGTTCTTTGTATCACAATAACCATGACCTTTGACCATGTGACTCCAAAATCAATAGGCATCTTCCCCATCACAAATGTTAGCCTGTCATACACTTTGATTAAGGGGGCACTTACTGTTATCATGTACTTTTGAGACAGTGATGTATGTAAGGAAATGTTTGCATTTAAAACATGCACAGTGGAGAAAATGTTGGCATACCACTAAGCTACTTGATGTAATAAGGCTGAAATTTCTTTGGATATTGCACTTTTGGAAATTGTAAATTATCTTGGCACACTGATAGCTAAAATGACTGCTCTTTTGTGCTCCAAATATTAGCCTGAATTTGTATAAAGTACAGGTATACTATCTTTAGCAGCTATTAAAATAGGGAAAATGAATTTTGCCAGACTAGACAATATCAGCTTCTGAAAGTGCAATGAATGAATGAATTAAAGATATATAAAATGTAAACAAAAAAGTTATTGCCTTCTTTTTTTTCTTCTTTTTTTTACAATTTACCTCTCAAGTTCAGGAAGTGAAAATGACCAAGTAGAGCTAGCACTTTTTTGAAAGCTGCACATCTGGAGTAAGGTCAAGCTTTATACTCTATAACCCATATTACACCCATCAATCATGCACTGAAATAAAGGGAATTAAAGATTCTTTGAACAATACTTAAGATGTACAAGGTCTTTTATAAATAGCCATTATAACCCAGGGAAATTCTTTTTCTTTAAAATTCTAACCCTATGTAAAATACAAAACTGTACAGCGCCACCTAACACCTAACGTGTGTGGACTAGAAAATCATACAAAAACCATGTTTCTAATTTCAGTCAGTGGCCATTGAAACCTAAATCAATAGACTGTTTTACCCATTGTGCAAGTCATCTATAACCAGAGGTGTAGGTGCATTTTAGATGATTCATAATTTTTAGCCAAAAACATTTTGCTACCTTCAATCACAGTGATCTTGACCTTTTCATTCTGTTATGAATATTTAGTTTACATTATTTATTTAATTTTTTAAGGTTAAATGATACATAGCTAATATTTATCTGTGAGAATAGAGTAAATATTGTGATAGCTATCAATCGAAGTAAACATGTTTATCTTAATCTGAGTCTAGGACATTGGTATTCCCCATGGATATGTCTGTTGTAGGTGATGTTTACCATTTTATTATATAATTTTAGGTAAGATTTAATCTTGTTGACAACTTAAAATTTTCTACAAATGAACTTTTGACCCTCATCCTGGTTCAACTATTGTGTTTTTTATATATAATGTTGTTGACTTAGAAATTACTTGTTATTGCATTAACATCTTTATCAATATGAGTCTAATTGTTGTGTTCAGTATTTGGGTGGAATTACTTATTCAAATTATACCACTACTTCTGTGGCCTCAGTGGTTAGAGTGTCTGCCTTAAATGCAGAAGACCATGGGTGTGAACCAAAACTGAATAATACCAAAAACTTATAAAAATGGTGCTAGCAGCTGCATTGCTTGGTGCTCAACATTAAGAGATTAGAGTTTGGACTGGTTGGCCTGCTGTCAGGATAGTGTGACTGGATAGAACATAATGGCCCATGTCTGTAACATGATGTCACAGTGCTATCTATTACTATAAATTGCCACACTGCAGACATCATAGCAATATGACTCAAACTGTTAAAGCTATGTTATATATCAAGATCACACACACACATTTATTCAAATTATTGACTAGAAATACAAAGTGCTTATCAATAATATTCTTGGACAGAAACTTTAAATTGGAATTATAGTAAATTCAGACCAGAATATTTTGGGGTTATTTTATTGTGACACATCAAAAGAATTTTAGCACATTAACAAAATTTAGACTACTGGTACATTTACATATTTGAAACTGCAGGCATGTGAACACATTCAATATTGGAACATATCTGGAATACAACTGGATTTCGTTTGGAACTTTATACATTTGAACTTGTGATAACATTTTTAAAACTATTTGTGATTTAATTCACAGTAATGTAAGTTCTTTTTAAAAATTTCATATTGTATTTTAGAGAAATAAATTATTTGTTGAAATTTTTTAAATATTTGTTGGTTTTTACTTTTTTTGTTACACATGTTAAGACCATAGAGTTGTAACAACCCCATGATTGATAGGCTTCTTCCTTACCTCAATAGTTTTTATAAAATGGGTTTTCTGCATGACATGTGATGTTATTATGGGCTTTGAAATCAGCTTACAGGAAAAACAGAATATGTATTCATGTAAGTTTTGATTGCAACCAGTGAAATTCACATTTCCAAACATCCTTGATTTTTGTGTGATATTTAAGTTCCTTCAATTTTGATGTTTTGACATTGGCAAACTTAGACATCTCAGCAACTTTTAAAGACCAAAGTCAAACAGATCTAGTTTATTACCACCTGAGCTCTTGAGCAATCCAACTATAGTCAACTTGCATCTTTAATCCATTCCAGATTACATTTCCATCCAAGAGAAAACTTACACTAATCCATCTCAACAACTTGAATCATGATGCAGAACAATGAGGAGAGATAAAAAAAAAATGATTTATTTCAGCTGAACTTTTTACTAACCCAACCATAATGCCTTTAATACTTTTGGAATTACTTCTGCTTACACATAATATAATCTATCTTGAGAAACTTCAAAAACTATGAAACCAGCTGACCACGCCAACAGAATCAAAGCATTAAATTAGCAACTACTTTGTCTTGCCATGTTTAAGTCAATTCACAGCCACCTGATCACTGGCAATATTACCATAATTACACTACACTGCTTCCAAAAAGTGAAAAAAGAATGGAGAATTTTATTTTTCATCAATAATTTTGCATAAGCAGGAGACTTCAGAGAATGATGGGAAACACCCCAAAATTTGAGAAAAAACCCTCCCTTGCAGGTGGTTCACATACATGCTTTTTATAACCATGCTGTCAAATATAGGTCAGACTATGATATAACACTCATTGATGAAAATTACCTCTATCGGGAAATAATTTTGCAGTATATCAGAAGGAAACACAAAGGTCTCATAGAGAGGTGTCTTTCCTGTAAATAGCAAAATATAATGACACTACTACTCAGGGTTCTTCATATGACTTTGAAATTTGCATTCCAAAAGTCCTTTGAAAAAGTCTCAGACCCAGTCCTAAAAATTGGAGTCCCAATGACAATACTTCTTTTTCCTTGCAATAATTCAGAATGTTACACATTATGTTGGGTTATCCATCTATGTCTTCTGATTGATAAGAAAATTAGTCATTGTGAAATATTTAATATTATAGTTACAGAATGAAAAATTTGAGCATGGTGATAACTGCAATTGTGATGTTACAATTATAAAAATGTTCAGTTGCTTTACCTTGCCATTTTTTATTTTTGAGTGCAGCTAGAACAAATAAGGAAAAGACTTTTATGCTAATTTATTTAAATAGCTTAGTCCCATTTCACATCAATACCTTTACCAAGACACTCAGAAAGACAAAAAATAATTACCCAATTCCATTAACTTTTATTCATTGCATATGTAAGCAACACAGCACAATACTAATTAATTGTTGAAAAAGTTTAAGCTTTGTGTGCACTTCTAGAACATTACACCATGCATTTCATACAAACACAGCAGAAACTTAACATTGTAATTCATTTTAGTCAATAGGAGTGCCTAGATTCCACTGAAGCAGTTATCAATACCTATACATATTAATTAACTGTGACCAAGAACAAGCAATTTGTTTATTAATTTTGTTGCAGTTTAAGTTCAAAATATCAATATATTTTCTTTAAAGTTAACCATAATAATTTAGCTGTAAAGTTGATGACGCTCATCAAGGACCTGTTGCTTGAATAAATGAACATGAAAGTCGTGGTGTGAAGCATGGGCTTCATGTACATTTATAGAAATTGTGTTCAAAATGTTTTCAAATGATTTATACTTTTTAATTTTCAGATGATGTTTTAGAAACTAATTTTTTTTAAACTGCTTGTGTTTAAGTGGCAGTTTATTAAATATTTGTGATTACTTCAAATTATATTACTGTCTGGAAACATGTCTGAGTGTATAAATTTAAGAATGTTCCAACTGTATTTTAATTTGCAGCTACTGCCACTGCTTTTTGTTAATGCCATTAAGATGCTACTGCTACTGCTATTTGTGAATGCTATTAAGATGCTACTGCCACTGCTATTTGTGAATGCCATTAAGATGCTACTGCCACTGCTATTTGTGAATGCCATTAAGATGCTACTGCCACTGCTATTTGTGAATGCCATTAAGATGCTACTGCCACTGTTATTTGTGAATGCCATTAAGATGCTACTGCCACTGCTATTTGTGAATGCCATTAAGATGCTACTGCCACTGCTATTTGTGAATGCCATTAAGATGATACTGCCACTGCTATTTGTGAATACCATTAAGATGCTACTTCCACTGCTATTTGTGAATGCCATTAAGATGCTACTGCCACTGCTATTTGTGAATGCCATTAAGATGCTACTGCCACTGCTATTTGTGAATTGCACTATATCACTTCTATCAATCACACTATAAAGTCCTTGTCACTGCAGTCTGTAAATGATGTCACTATCACTGCTGTATGTGAATGGCACTCTATTGACATTGTCACTTCGATATGTACAAGATGCCAATAATGAATAATGCTAATGCCACTGCTATATGTGAATGGCTATGTAATGACAGTGCTGCTTTTGTATGTGAATAGCACTGCAATGATAATGTCATTGCTTTATGTAAAGGATGCAAATGTTACTGCTATATACGAATAATGCCAATGTTACTGCTATATGTGAATAATGCCAGTGTTTTTGCTATCATATGGAAACCATCTAACACCAAAACCAAGAACAGAGCCATTTAAAAAGAGCTTCCAATACTCTGGTACACTTCTGTGGAACAAGCTACCACTACCTGTAAAATCTGCTGAAAATATTAGAATATTTAAAAAGAGATATTATGAGCTTGTATGTGTTTCTAAGAGGTAATGGAATTTAGTGTTTTAATACTAAGCATGTTAAAATAAACAGTAATTATTGATATCTTCATATAATGCGCATTGTTATACTCTCCTTAATAGGGCCTAAAGAGGGAATAGTCCTTGACTAATGAGTCACCCTCTATAAATAATGCATCATCATCATTATTATTATTATTATTATTATTATTATTATTATTATTATTATTATTATTATTATTATTATTATTATTATTATTATTATTATTATTATTATTATTGTTGTTGTTGTTGTTTTTGTTATTGTTATTATTATTATTATTATTATTATTATTATTATTATTATTATTATTATTATTATTATTATTATTATTATTATTATTATTATTATTATTATTATAATATGTGAATGGCACTATATGATAATGTCAGTGCTATATGTAAAGGATGCCAATGTCATTGCTATATGTGAATAATGCCAATGTCACTGCTATATGCGAATAATGCTAATGTCACTACTATATGTGAATAATGCCAATTTCACTGCTATATGTGAATAATGCCAATTTCACTGCTATATGTGAATAATGCCAATTTCACTGCTATATGTGAATAATGCCAATGTCACTGCTATATGTGAATAATGCCAATTTCACTGCTATATGTGAATAATGCCAATTTCACTGCTATATGTGAATAATGCCAATTTCACTGCTATATGTGAATGACACTATAATACCACTGCTAGATATGCATAACACTATGATGCAATTATTATCTGATATGATTGTTCATGGCAGCTAGACCTGTGAACTGTGTTATAAGGTCACAGATGTTCCAACAATGATGTCTCACAACAGTACACTAAGCACAAAACACAGGATATTTATGTGCAATCACATTATAATTGGTTTCCACCAGCTAAGTAACAAAAAAAAAATTCAGATAATCTAACAGTATCAAAGACCATACCCATCTTATAAGCAATATGCAAACAGGATTTATTGTGAGGGACCATTTTATTTTGACAGCAAAAGTGGAATAAATAAAAAATGTTAATGATACACGATTTTCAGAAATATTAACAGTATTAACAATGTTGCCAATGCAGATAGTGGTTATTTTAAAGAAGTTCCTATTGTTTCACACTTACAAAATGCTGGCAAAAAACAAAGAATTATAATGAATTGAAAGGACTTGGTTTCAGGGCATTTCTTACATTGGAATTCAAAATACAACATGCAACAGTAAAAAGGCCACATTTAAACTGGAGAAGCTTCAAGTGGAGAAGCTTTGTATCAGCTGATACCAAATGTAGGTACATATATGTTGAGTCCAACTGTAAACTGCATCGACCCAGATCTGTCATCACATAATACGAAAGCAGATCAGATTCTATGTAGTTTGCCAGTTGGAATTAGTCGAGAAAAAAAACAACACAGACCCTGAACTGCCTGAATATGACAAG